TTTTTTTTTTTTTTTTTTTTGTCATCCCTAGTTATTTTAAGTGTTATCCAAATATAAAGATGGTCTGTTCACCTTTTCCTTTTGTTCTTGATGAGTTCTTTCTTCTTCCTCTAGAATTAGTAAAGTAAAAGGAAGGCAAATGATTGAATTAGGCTTATGAGGTTTGGGTAAAAAAAATGAAATCAGTTTTTATTATCGGATACTATAAGGTTATATCTCAACTTTAAAAGCACGAGGTTAATAATTTTGTCAAACATTTTTGCTTCTTTAAATTCTAAGTTAATTTTTTACTTTCTTAAACTTACATGTAGTTTACCCTCCAACTCCGAAGTCAAATACATATATATTGTCAATTATTCGTAATACCTGGTGGTGATTAAATTATGGAAAGACAATGTTGAATGCCTACATCTGCACAGCTTGAGATTTTTAGTGTAAACAAGGCACAACTTGTACAAATAGCTCTCGATTGTTGTCACAGCCATATTTATGGAAAAAAAAAGGTTCATGATTGGCTGGATAAGAGAACACTAATGGAGCCTGTTTCTATTTTTCTCATCTTTCGTTTACTTTAGTCCAAACAAATAAGTAGCTCCAACATGTGTAACATAAAATGATTGCATCATATCTTATATTTGTCAAAACTTACCAACAAATAATTAACAAACAGAATGCAATCATCAAAACAATAGCACTTGGCCAACAATTTCAGCATTTCATGGACTTTTGTAAAATGTTCAATTCATGAGCTAATCAAAACAAAATTAATACAAAACTCGTGCAACGCACGTGACATTCACTAGTATTTAGTAAATCACATATTTCAATACTCAACATAAACTATTTTCCTAACCATTTATTTCATCAGAAGGTAGACTTAAAATTTTGATATCCCTTTGACGCTTTATGAAACTATACATAATTCAACATAGAATACTCCGTTTTACAAATCGTTTTTCATTTGAAATTAGGCTTGTCGAATTTTCCGATTACACATGATTTATGATCAAGAAATTTCTAATATTAAGTAGTATGTACGCTAAAGTACAACAAAAATTCAGGTCGAATAAAATTTCGAAATGTTGGAAATTTTGTCAAATTTGCTCAACTTTACGAAAATGTTTGACTCAATGTAGGAGACTCTGTTTTACAACACATTAATTTGTTTGGTTTGAAAGAAGATTCGTAATGCAATTTAATCCCACGGGGGTTACAATATCAGTCTATATTATTTTAATGTGACATTAAATGATAAGTACAATTAAATAAGTCATTTAATTTTACTTTTCTTATATCCTATCGCCTAACAACACATGTTGGAAATTGGTTTAGAAGATTGAAAATTTGGTTAAGTGTCAAAACCAAAAACTTGGGAAAAAAATGACTTTAGTGTCAACTTCAGCCAAATATTCGGACTTGATCCGATGGTCAAATTACAAATGTAAATAGACCAACTTGTTCTACTCATCGAGTAGATCGTCCGGTATATTTAGAATCTCAAAATTAATTCCGGGTGAATGAGAAATTGAGGTCCAAAGTTGGGAAGAAAATAAAGAAAGTTGTCTGAAAAATTGACTAAGGTTGTTGCTAGCTTATGATTGGATTGTCGTGTATCGCTCGAGCGACAGACCAGTGAACAAGTCACTATTTTTATCGCTCGAGCGAGGCGATGGCGATAGACTAGCAACAGTGAATGGTGCGACCTTTGGCAAGTGTTATCAAGTTTGGGGCGCGACAATTCATTCATAACCCATCATCCTCTATATATAGAAACCATTGGACTTCCATTTTGCATCCCATACCATATGTGCATTGTGCATTCATAAAATATCTTGCAAAAACTCTCCCAAATTCATTCCAAAACCGTTTTCCTTGTAGAGAGGGAATTCTGTCACGTTCGCCGTTGTCATGTGGTTTGAAGTGCTGTTACCACAAGTATTGAATCTGTTGTATCTTGGGAGATAAGTGCCGACAACAGTGAGCACCGTAGCGGAGTAATATTGTCTTAAGGAGAAAGTGTCATCACTTGGCTCGGATTATCATTTCCTACAACTACTTATTCTTACTTCTTGGCTGCAATTTTAGTTTTTCATACTATATTTTTCAACCCATATATATAGTTTAGTCACACTCTTGTGAATTAAACTTTTTTTGTTTGATTACATAAACAACATTTTCTCGCTATCATATACACCCGGAACAACAACACATAGGTTGGGGTTATGACATTTGTGGGATTAAATAACATTATTCTTTGGGGGAAAAAACCAATAAACATGGAAATTAATATTATTTCTTTGTTATCGGATTCTTGTTATAAATCACATAAATTCGAAATCTTACTATTTTCAGGCTCTTTTTATAATTAGAAGCCAAATTAATTACTATATTTTGAACTGAACGTATGTTCGCTAATTAATTTAACTTGTCTTATAATAATATTTTTAATGGATAGTAATTTGCTCGCAAACTAAATATATCATTGATGACTAAAAACGACGTAATAAGATTAGATCAACTTAAGAAAATACTTAATGAGTATTGCCGGAATTGGATCTAAATTACACAATAATTGTGTTTAAAGAAACGTTGTTTGGGAGTGTTCTTTGTCTATGATTTAGATCTGCCTTTGAAGGGGGACCGTCGGTCCTAATTTATCGGATGAAGTTTAAGCCACTTGTCCATCTAGTGTCATTTTAACTATAATACCGATCTAAAAATGTGTACCGCCTTCTGAACTTCTGGCTTCTTGATTGGCTTATGAGGTTGGCCAACCAAGTAATCATAATGCACACGCCCCAAATATGGCAAGGCATGATGTTGGGTAATTATTGTTTGTTTCTAAATGATTAAACATTAGGTGTTGGCGTCATGACGAACACATGTCGTTCTGGGAGTGATTGGTGGTGAGGCGGAGCAATGTAACAATGACTTACAATCATGATGTCCATTCGAATTACGACGACATTTGTTTGAGCTTACTTTCTTGGATTTAGTCCGATCTTCCATTTCTCTTTTAATAAAATGTTAGGTCGGACCCCAACATACACATGTTACAAAACTAACAAAAATAAGCTATTAAAGTGTGAAGAAATAATAGAATTGTGATTTGTGTGTTAACAATATAATTGTCCCTAAATCAGGAGGGTTTCAAGGGTTTCCTTAAAAGGTTATTTTTCTATTAAAAATTGTGGAATCATAAATGTACATAAAGTGACGGTTTAGCTCCCATTATTCCATATTATAATAAAATGAATAGTAATTTTTTGAAAAATGTGTGGTTAAAAAAGAAAGATTTTTTAAAAATTCATGTGTAATATTATTTTACTGAAAAATGTGTGATTAATAAAAAGAGGGAAAAATGAATTATAATTTAATGAAAAATAATGAATGTCAAACGGGGGCTAAATAAAATTCATATCATACTGCTCCACCTGTCCATTTTAATTCTTAGACGTTATTTATTTTGAGATTATGGTATTTGAAGTATAATTATTTTAATTTACGAGGTATATTTTTGTAATTTTTTCTTATTGCCAAACATTGATATGTAAATTCTAAAATTCCCCCAAAAAAAAAAAAATTTGTAAATTATAAGCATTTTTTAAAAGTCAACATGTAGAGTGCAGTTACAATGTTATATTTTCTATATTTGTATTCCTATAATAATATACAATCATCTTATTATTAAACATATATATTTCTAGAAAGGAAAATCAAAATAGTCTTTTTCTGGACCAACTTTGATTTCCATTATTTTTAAAATATATTTTTCCTTTTCATATTTTTAATCACACAATATTCAATAAAATAATATTACAAATAAACCCAAACTTTTTTCTTATTTTTTAACTATACATTCTTCATCAATCACCGTTCAAAAATACATTTTTTTGTAAAATAATGCCTTATTTTAAGTGGGATCCATTTGCGGCGAATCGACCGATGGATAGCCAGCTGAGTCAAGCCGATAGGTTGGAATAATAGTTGAGAGCGAGTTCCGGTTCAACTCAGTCCTCTCAATTTTCTTTTTCTCCCTACTGCTTTTCTCTCTCTGACCCCAGCCCAGCCCCCGGTATTTATTTCTCAGATTCTCGATCCCATCGCTCAACAACAAGCATAAATACGGTCGATTGGAATTACTGCACAAATGCCCTAATTCGATTGACATGTTATTGACTTGTTTCGGAAAGAGTGGTTGCTGAATTCATTAATTGGAGTTGTACAGATTGGCCATGCGACCGTGGTTGTTTGCGATCGGCCTCTCGAGAGAGGACTCTATCATCAATCAGGGCGCCGGTATTTGTTTTGTTGTTCCAAAAATTTTTGATTTTTTTGAAGCCGATTGTTGTAGATTTATCCATGGCCGCCAATACTCATGGCCCTAGTCCCAAGGTCCTCCTCTGCAATGCCGGCGCTGGTGCTGCAGCAGGTAAATTCTCCTCGCCGTTGCTTCTACTATTTCTCTGGTCAACTCTGTATTTTTATACACGATTATTAGTTTAATTCTGGTGTAAAGTAACCATTTTCAGTGATAAGTGTCGAAATCTTTTAAGGAGATTGTGTTTTACTCTGGTGGAATTCAAATATGGCGCAGGTGTGATTGCGGCTACTTTTGTATGTCCTTTAGATGTTATCAAGACTAGGTTTCAAGTCCATGGGCGTATTGCTAATGCTAATACTAAAGGCAAGTTAGCTTTTATTGTGACGCAAGCTTGTTGATTTATACATATTTCTACTGTTGCTTTGAATATGAAATTTATTCTGTCAAAAGATTTCAATTGAGCAGTGAAGCACTCTGAATTTAGACGTTGGAAATCACTGAATAGATGATATTTTCTGTTCTTGGCCAGGTAGTGTTATAGTAGGGAGTTTACAACAGATATTCCGAAAGGAGGGGTTGCGTGGCATGTACCGTGGGCTCTCCCCTACAGTGCTGGCATTGCTCCCCAATTGGGCAGTAAGTCGTTTGATGTAGTTCATGTGCTGTTTTCATGGTTATGTCCTCTATTCTTCTCTGGATAGAAAGGAGAATAAGTTAAATCCCAAATAACCTTATTTATTATTTTTGCAGGTCTACTTTACTATCTATGATCAACTAAAAAGTTTTCTTGGCGCCGATGGTTAGTTCATAACCTACTTTCTTTTGAGATGTGTAACTTATCTCTGACGAGCAAAAAAGAAAAACTTATCTGTTTTAATATTGTTATGTGTAAGCAAATCCCCCATCACTCTTGTCCCTTTTTTTGGTGCTATTGACGGTGCCTTATGTCTTTGGCAATTACAGATGTAAATCATCAGTTGTCTATTGGTGCTAATATGGTAGCTGCTTCTGGTGCTGGAGCTGCAACAACTATTACCACAAATCCTCTTTGGGTTGTCAAGACAAGACTCCAAGTATGTCTATCTGCTTCATCCATTATTGCATTTCATTCTTTGTTAAATATTTTTTTTATTAGGTTTTGGTGCTGTTAAGAACTTAAATATGAAGCCAATTTAAGTAAAACATGGGCAATAATGAAGCCTTAGATTCTCTGCTTATAAATAATGAATTTGACTTTAGTATCATTTGTTTTTATTGTGCTTTCTCTCAATTAATTGATAAACTGGTATGATGTTGGACGATCGTAACAACACTCAACAACCACCAAAAATTAAGAGAAGAAATATAAAAGGACAAAAAGATAGGAGAAAAGAGAGGGAAGAAGATAGAAAGAGAGGAGACGAGGGAAGAAAATTGAGAGATTGAGGAAGATTTCTTTGATTGTATTCATTAATAATATTGTCGTGTTGTTATAAAAGAACTAATCCTCCTTATATAGGGTCTACTACGTCCTAGATAAGGAAACAAAACGAAATTGTCTTAAAAGTACAATAAAGGTAATACACAGCCTAATAATTTAATTCTTTGCCACGAATAGACTTTTAGCGTTGCATCATTTCTTCCCGACTGAAAAGAACTCAACTCCGACGTGTTAAACTCCAAATAGTCATCCAAGATCTTCGAATCTAGCTCAAGAAACCCATCTTCATTAATTCAAGTAGCACCACTGGTGGAAGATCTTTCTAATGCACCAGTATTTGAACATATATGTTTGGTTTCAAATAATTATTGCTACGAGCGTCATCGTACTAGTTTGGAGTGGTGAATATCAAATTCACACTGTACTTTCTAAGGTTTAAGAGGCCCAGTTGTGACTGGCTGTGTCTTGGCCTCTTTCGAAGTACGGATTATTTTAAGATTGTAAATTTTTCCTTGTATATTCATTATGCAGACTCAAGGAATGCGGTCAGGTCTGGTGCCTTACCGGAGCACACTATCTGCCTTGAGGAGAATTGCTCACGAAGAGGGTATCCGTGGATTGTACAGGTTAGGTTATCTCTTTCATATCATCAGTTTGATAGTCACGGAGGATGAAGTTCTTGTTAAGGGATTGATTTCTTGCTTTTTTGCGATGTTCTTGTGGTGGACAGTGGACTTGTGCCAGCTTTGGCCGGTGTTAGTCATGTAGCAATACAGTTTCCAGCATATGAGAAGATAAAAAGTTACTTGGCTGATCGGGGTAATTATTCACTTTTCCTTTCTTTGTATTTTCCTATCCTGTCTCTCTCTGGAATAATATGAAAATGTTGTTAACTATGATGCAATGATTTCAGATCAAACCAAAATGGATCAACTTAGTGCAAGAGATGTGGCTGTAGCTTCTTCAGTGTCTAAAATATTTGCTTCCACATTGACATATCCACATGAGGTATGGCGTGGAAAACTTCCATCTATTTGATTGTTTACTTTCTATACACAAAGACATAGTTACAAGGTGGTCAGACATCCCTTTATGTTCTGCCAACAGCAGGAAATAGAGGTAAAGCTTAGGATACCAGTTCAACCTACTGACTGAATTGGAAAATTAACTCTAAATCAATTTCACTAATGTTTGTTAGTTTTGAAAAACCGCCATGAAAAAAGAGTAAAATATATCTGATATCGTTTAGGTGTGTCTTGGATTTGCAATTCTCTTTGGCTTATAGTTTTATGAATTGGTGTAAATTTTAATAAATTCATCCATTGAAATTTTATATAAATCCCTTAAACCTAATATTTTTTTTTTTCTTTCTGTAAACATACAGAACTTATCAAATTCCAATATAAATAGGTTTTGATTGAAATCCTTAATGTAAAATCAAAGAAATGAGAGCTCACTTTCCCCAGTTTCTGAGGGACAAGAATTCTAAGAATTTGGTTGCCACATTTCAAGGTTATAAGGAACTAAATGTCATACAGAGGCAAGATGCTGCATTGATAATGAAATCAGTAAACAAATCTAGCATATAACTTGATAATGAAATTAAAAATTGGTTTTCTTAAATATTAGACTGAATCTCAAAAGTTCAAGTTTGAATCAAAAAAACTTGCTCTATAGCGAAAATCTCTTTGCTTATTTGACTTGTATCAATCTAATTTTGCCAAGGCAGTAGGCATTGTTTATGGTTATTAAAATTTCTATACTGCTTAATATGCTAGTGTCCAACTAGAAGTCAAGACACTCTAGCGTTTGTTTTCTTCGTTCTCCTTCTCACTTAATTGATCAAAAATAATATTGTAAACTTGGATATTTCTTTAAATATGTGATGAGTACAAAATATTGGATATTTTTTTGGTCAATTTAGATAAATTTTAAATCTTGTCAATGGCACAAGTATTGTATTAATATTCTTATTAATGTACACAACTTTACTCGTTATACGTAATGAAAACAATTGATACTTGTTTTGTATATTGATTCAACTGTGGGGAACTCGACTATCTGATACTTGATTAGTATTTAGTATATTAATTTTATCTTTGATAAATAACGAACTAAGCTTTATTATCGGTAAACATGGTTACCTGAATGCATTTTCACTACACTAAGGTTCGATAAATATTTTTAACCTTTGACAACTAAATAATATGTTCGGGCAAATCTTTATGCAGGTTGTGCGCTCAAGGCTTCAAGAGCAAGGGCACCACTCTGAGAAGCGGTATTCTGGCGTTGTTGACTGCATTAAGAAAGTTTTTCAGCAAGAGGGAATCGCAGGTTTTTACCGGGGGTGTGCCACCAATCTGCTTAGGACCACTCCAGCTGCCGTAATTACATTTACAAGTTTTGAAATGATTCACCGCTTTCTTGTCACAGCATTCCCTCCCGATCCGCATACTCAACCATTCTGAAGATTAAGCTGCCGGAAATCAGCCAATCAAAGGTTGCCAGGAGTTAACGATATAGTGCATCTTATCAAATAGTAAGGCTAGTAGTGTACTGACATTGATATGATGATAAATTGTGATAGTTCAGGATAATTTGAAGTTAGCAATTCTTTCTTCAAGGGATTTCTGTATTTTTTTAACCCTGTATTTCTGTCGGAACGAAACGAGGCCATGGGCTTATTGCTGTAGTTTTTCTGTAACTGTGGATTATTATTTTTCACCTTATGTAAAGTCCCTAAATGAATTCAGCTGTCCAGGTTCAGTATGTTTCTTAGCATGTACTTGTGTTTGTTCTGTTGTTTATTTCCCCTGTATTTTCATGCTCCCAGCCAATTGATAAGATATTGGTGGAAACTAAATGTTGTTGCTTGCTTAATCAAAGGGTTTTGGTTTGAAATACGAAGAATTTCCTTTTATAATCATTTATGTTGTAGACAATCATGCAAATAAACGTGGTATCGATCTACCTGTTGTGGTAATTGTCGAATTTAATTTTGCTTCAAATTGGTCATTGAAATTTGATTTTTTGTCTCTCTTACTTTGTTTAACGTGAAGGGCCTCCATGCCGATTGTAGTCTTTTTAAGTTATCCAATTTTTGTTCTCATGTGTATATCAAATTTATTTTCTCGTTCGAGATGATCAATTTATTCATTCTGTCATATTGAATCATCTATAAGAAGTGTAACCTTTGGAGAAGAGAAAAAAATAAAGGGTAATTAGCACATAAAATCCTCATCTTTCATTGTTATTGTGGAAAACGTCACAACATTTCATTTTTTAGCATTTTCACCATTATTTCCATATTTTGTTGCTCAAAAAGGTCTTTCTCATTCATTTTCCCAATTAAAAATCGTAAAATAACTATTATACCCTTCTCTATAAATAAAACAAAAGGAAAAAAAGAAAAAAATAATTGTAATCATAGTCCCCAATTTTTTTAAAATGCACAAATCAATCCTTAATAAATTATTAAAGGGATAATTAGTACATAGTGTCCCTACCTTTCACCATTGTTGCGAAAAACGTCAATACCTTTCGTTTTTTTGACATTTTCACTCTTAATTATACATTTGATTGTGCAAACAATCATTTTCATTCAATTTATCAATAAAGAATTGTGAAATAATAAGTATACCCTCATATTTAAATATATTTTTTAATTTCTAATTATTTACTATTTATTTGGGACTTTTTTTCGCTTTTTAATTTTTTCTAATTTTTTAAAATTTTTAAATAAATTTAATTGGGACTCGTTTGCACTTTTTTTTATAAAAAATATTTTTTTTACTAATTTATTGGGGACTCGTTTGAAAATTGGGAACTATGGTTGCAATTAATTGTTTAGCATTTCATTTAAATAAGTGGGTATATTTTTTATTTCACAGCTTTTTATTGAGAAATTAGATGAAAATTAATAGAAGTGATTGTTTATGTAATCAAACGTGTAATTAATAGTGAAAATACAAAAAAAGAAAAAAAAAAGGTATGGATAGTTTTTGCAATTATAGTGAAAGATAGGGACATTATGTGTTAATTACCCTTTTAATAATTTATTTGAGACTCATTTGCGATCTTTAAAAAAATTTGGGACTATGATTGCAATTATTTATTATTATTATTATTTTTTAATTTAAAGAGAAGGGTATAATAGTTATTTTACAATTTTTAATTGAGAAAATGAATAAAAATGACTTTTTGCGTAATGAAAAATGGAATTAAGGGTGAAAATGTCAAAAAAATGAAAGGTAATGATGTTTTCCACAATAACAGTAAAAATGTGGGAACATTATGTGCTAATTACCCAAGAATAAATAAATAAATAAAAATAAGAATTTAAAGACAAAAGGAGAAACAAATTTTATTTTCGACATTGAGAAGATCCTTGCGAAATATTATTAAATGCAAGAGGCATTGTGCCACAAAACACACCTACCACCACGGAACACCACACGTTTAAGGTTGTAGAAACTGAAATTCACAAGATCCCTAGCATTCATAACCAAAGTCTCAGCATTTTGTGGTCTACATTTCACATATCTTCAACGGTACCCTCGTTTTAATGAGAATTTGGAAAAAATATATTTTGAAATAGTAATTTTTTTTTAAATGTATGGTTAAAAAAGAAGAAAAAGTTTTAAATTTACGTATAATATTATTTTATTAAAAAATATGTTTTTGATAAAAAGAAAAAAAAAATGAATTATAATTTTAACGTAATCAAACAGAAAGGGGACATTTCACTCTCTGGAACCTTCTTAAAGGTCACGCTATAATACTTTCTTTATTAGTGGGATCTTATGCTTACTATTTAAACATCCAAGTGGCTCACATTTTGCATGCTGGTAAATCATTCTTCCGTTCTTTGATTAAAACCTAAGATTTCTGCAAATTTGCTTGGCTCTTGAGAATATGTCACGTATAGAAATGGTTCCCAATGAGGACTCTTGTTATTATTCCTTGCTGGGAATTCGTAAACAGGCTTTGGATGCTGAAATTCGTGGCGCGTACAAGAAGCTAGCCATGGTAATTTTCTTCTTACGCTTGATAGAGAGGATTGAACAATACTTGATCGTATCAAAAAAGACGTTATGCTGTTTAGTCCTATCCGAGAGTATCAATTCATGATTCTCAAATTCACGTAATATCTTACTTTGGTTTTGTTCTTACAGAAATGGCATTGTCCACCAAGCTAAAAAAGGAAGTTTCAACAAATTCAAGAAGCATATTCAGGTGAGTAAATCAAGAAAAAGAACTTCATAATTTGATTAGTTGGCTTGGCAATATAATTACTGATTTTTGGCCATTTATTTGCAGTTTTATCAGACAAGGGAAAGAGGTAAATCTATGATGCTGGATTTCTTGACCTCCTGGGAGACGAGACCAGGATGATGACACTGTAAGATTTTTTACCCTTGTTTCATAATTCAGATATCCTATATTTTGTTTAATAGGCTGAACTCGACTCAATCAAGTCATGTTGTCCAGTATTTTCCAGTTATATTTTAGAATCATTGACAAAACCTCGGATATATTATCATCCCATTAGATAAAAAGATTTCTACATGTGAAGAAGAAAAGATAATGGAACTCGACCCTATTAAGGATGAAAGATCGTATTATATTGTCCATTTGTGTCAATACAATGTACTTTATGTTTCAAAATACTTGACATAGAATTAGAATTATCGTTTCTTCCTGTGCATAGAGTTTTCGCGAATTTGCAGCGAGAACTCTAAGGTGTCTGTCAAATACGCGCACATTAATATTGAATTTATGTATCTGAATTTAATCAAAATAACTCTTTTCTTGTATATACAACAAAGTTTGAATATCAAAAATGGATTTATTTTTTTTTTAGCTAAAATTAATGTTTTTTGTTCAAAGGAAGAGAACAGTTTGGAGGATCTTCAGAGGCTATTAATGAACACGGTGGACGGCACTGAAACAGCTAGATTTCCCTCTAAATTCAGTGAATCTCATCAGGGAGCGCCAAAAAAAGGAAGAATGCCCTTTTTCTGTAGTTTCATGCTTTTACTAGTTTTTTTAGATCTGTAAATCAATTTACTCTAATTTTTTTTTTTTATATGGACTATTTCACTATCAATAAGAACGATCGTGTGAAAATATAAGGGCACTTGTTATTCTCAGAATCTACTGTAGTGTCTAATGATCTAATTACACTAGATTTGAACGTAATACAAAAAAGATTTACAAAATTCTAAATTTTACAGTTCCAATTTCCAAATCAAAAACCCCAGATGGATATATGAAGGCAGATGCCTTTTTGGAACTAGTATTTCCTCTCAGTACAAATAAAGTTTCTAAGACTCTGCATGAGATCAGTCACGTATGCTCAACTGCTATATCTCTTGCAGAGTCAGTCACGTATGCTCAACTGCTATATCTCTCGTATGAGATCCGTTTGGTTAATCTTGTCAACTTTCATAATAGCTGCTTTCGTGACTCAGATGAGATTGTTCATTTGTTTGTTTTTTACCCATATGAATATTTACAGCAATCAAATGTGAATGAGCTCAAAGAAACGCGAAATGCCGGTCATCAACGTTGACGAAGAAAGAAGCTCATATCAAACATATTAAGCCCAAATAAAAAACAAAATTCAGGAACCCAAGACAGCCTACATTACTTAACATGCATTTAATTTTAATCCAATCGAAAAATGCAAAGGAACTTTTATTGCAATTTCCAACTATATAAATCTTCAATCATGACACCGTTTCAGCCCCCACCCGAATTTACAATGTTAATGAAATGAATAATGCTGAAAGAAACAAGTATCCGAGTCGTTCTGCACTACCAAAACTTTTCTTACACACAAAAGAGGGTAAACGACGCTGTACACAACGAATGGGAATATAAGCGGACACCACTTGGGAAGAATTTGCAGCATGCTAGAGGTTTGTCGATGATAGCTTGAAAAGGCACAAGAACACATTATTGAAAGATTATGCACCATAACTGGTTGAGGAAATGTTGTATTGCATTGTACAGATCAATGAATGAATATATGAGCTTCAGGGCACTTCAAATCAAGAATATGCAACTTGACTGTTTGGATATGAAAGGAAGGAACACTGGGAAGAAGTAGAAACTGAGCTCTGAAATTCTGGACATGGTTCAGGTGACACGTTTTTGGATGAGCCCGACACATCAGAGCAAATCCATGATGTTGATGGGTCAGAAGTAACCGAGAAAGAAACATTCAATAGACATATAGAAGTGAAGGGAGATTCCTCAATACCAGAAAAATACCCAGCCGTAGTAATGTTTTTGCCAGTTATGTTCGTAAAGGTAATTTCACCGACCACAGGCAACTCAGAGGGATCAAACTTGTCATCCGGATGTGACTCCCATTGACCTGTCACCTTAATTCCTTGTTGTACAGTTTCCATGAACACATCGGATATGTAGATTCCTTTAATGTAGCCTCCTCTTCCTCTTACAGTTTTCAACTCGATTCCAATCAACGAGTCAAGCACATGAAGGTTCTCAACCAATATAGTGGAAATGCCACCGGACATCTCGCTACCAAAAGCCATGCCAGAGCCTGAATAAGATTGCAAGCGTAGACCTCGAATATGGACATTAGTGGTTGGTTTGCCATATGCAATGCCGTATTCATCCCAGCCGCTTTTTAGCACGATAGAATCATAACCCAAGCTAATGTTGCTGTTTTCGATACAAAGATGCTCGGAGGAGTCTGGAAATCACATTTCATTGTATTATTATACTGGAAAATAATAGAATAGGAAGCCTAACAGGATAAAGTGAAAATTCAAAAATTAAAGTGTACAGAGAATAAATAAAAGTAGCAACTGGTAAGCATTCTTTAGCCACCTGTTAAGCTAAGCATAAAATTTAACTTCTAAATTATTAGGTATCTATCTAGTGATTAGTTGCTTGTTTCTTTGATCACACTTGGTGATTCTTTTCCATTTTTCTTCCTATAGTTTGACCTATCCTGAAACCTTGTGAGCCTGAAATGTAGTTATTTCTAGCCATGTTCAGATGGATTACATTTTTCTTTCTATACATGCAGAATTTATTCATTTTGACCATAATATAGGGATTACTTTCAAAATAAGTTAGTTACTTATTTGATATTTCCAACTTCGACTAACAAAAGAATTATTATTTTAAAATTTAGCTATTTAGAAGTAAACTTTTTAAGCTTAGCCTAACATATATCTATCATTTTCATTAGGGTTCTTTTTTTGGCAAATGAAGTCTTGCCTGGATTTTGACATCAGAATTATTTTGAGTTGAGATATATAAAAGTTATAAATTAAATTCATCCAACTTGAACAATAATAATTCCCTTTTTCAAAAAAATTGAAGACATGTGTCATCTATGTATATTCTCGAACAAAACATGAATGAAAACATGCATGTGATTTAAGCAGAGCTTTCAAAAGACCTGGGACTATCCCACTGGTGTATGGAGAGTCAGGAGGAGCATGGACTGTTATGTTCTGAATTAGCACTTTACTGCATCACAAGACAATGAAATAAAACATTTGAAAACTGAACACATATTGATATGTTTTAGTGGGGAAAAAAGCAAGGTGTTCCAGAAAGTTTAGCGAGCTACCTGCAGTAAGCTGGGTGAATGTTCCAAGCAGGGGGATTTAAGAACGTTAAGTTTGATATAACAATATTGTTTGAGTCTATGAATTCTACTACATGTGGCCGACTGTAATTTAGGGAATGAGAACTGAATTTATCCCACCAAACTGAACCCTGGCCATCAATAGTTGCATTGTCACCTGTAAAGTAGGTAGAAAATAAGGATATTGCACGAGAATGGAAATAATAAAAGGTGAGAAAATAGAAACTACAGTTAAAAATAATCATTAGTCGCTCAACTTATAGCTTTGTTTCGCTTTGATCATAGAACATTTCTTTTACATGTGAAATTACTAGAAAGGTTGATATGGCAGTGGTTACGATAGTGATGAAAGTGGAGGTGGAGGAAACCAGTGGCAGAGGTAGGTAGGGCCACTGGAATCAGGGAAACCACTGAAATGTGAGAATTCGTTTATATTACTTTTTTTTTTTCTAATGTTATTATATTTTGTGTATGAAAAATCTTTCCTAGTAAATTAGGCACCCATCGAATCTAAGTGGCTCCTGGAAAAAAATACATTTAACAGATTTTTATTACATGCCAATATTTTAGTCAATTTCACGGTCAACGTTTTAGTCAATTTCATGGATAGATATAGATAGACAACATGCCTAAATGGAAACTGAAATGGAAGTTTACGGATTAATTAGAAATAAGAAAAGTTCAGTGACCAAAGTGAAAGAATGATATAAGTTGGGTGATTGATAGGGTTTGTAATGCTAGAAATGAGCAGCAAATTAACTATGTTCCTCAAAAAATTGCCACCTGTAATCACCACATCAGTTAAACCATGTCCTGTAATCAAGCTGCGATATCTTCCTCCAGGTCGTTCAGTACCTCGGCCATAAGAAGGCAAAGGATCAATTACATCCCAGTGACTATAATCCTACAAAAGCAAGGAAAAGAAATAAAGCAATTGCTAAAACACCATCGTGTTTGGGTAAGAGACCTAAAATTCGTATATGAGCTTGGACAATACAACCAAAAATAGAATATAAATATTGAAAACTCATCTAATGACAAAACTCTGCTTTCAAATACAAGATAGCTCGTTTAATTAATACATGATGTATGAGAGAAACAGCGGGCTCAAGGAATATTAAATTCTGATTATTTTTCGTATTTAAAGTTATCTTGAGACGTTTGCATTTTAAGAAGCCTCATAGAAAGAGAATTTCTATGAAGCATGATAAAGCGGGCAACACAGATTACACAATGCAAAGAGAATATTAGAAAACAGTATTATAAATATAAATATACAAAAAACATTAATATGTATATCTTCTAAAGGAGCAAACTATAAAATCAGTAGAAAAGGACATTTGGTTTCTGCTATGGACCATGCAAATCATGATTGAGGACAATGCAAAAAGGTTAGTAAAATCATTCCCAACTTTAAAACCACCTATACTATTTTATAAAAGGGCAATGCAAAAAGGTTTGACAGTATATCCTACAATTTACATACAGTTATATACTTACTCCCCCTTTCTTTTCGACTTGATTGTCGGAGGGGCCTCAGGGGCAGTCCCTGTTGCCATTTTTGCAGGCACCGATAACAACAGCACTGCAAATGGGAATGTTCGATGAGCCCGAGCATCAACCTCGGACTCAATCTTCTTGATGTCAATTTTTGAGGAACATCAGTGTGTAATAGACGACAATTGATAGATCGTGTCTGCTTAAATAGTAACATAGCACTGTCTTCCCAGATTAACATGCATATTCCTTTTTGCATTATCACTAAAAGGGGTTTAAAAAATGGTAGTAGAATGATAACCTGAGATCCAAGAATAATGGCATCTTTTTCCAGGAAAAGTGTGAGGTGGCTGGTAAGGTTGATGGTTCCAATAAGCCACTTGCCTGATGGAACATAGAGTTGAGCACCACCCTTGTCAGCAAAGGACTTAAGATAGAAAATGGCATTCTGAAATGCCAGAGTATTTAATGTTTTTCCATCCCCAACTGCTCCAAATTCTAAGACAGACACGCTGTGAGGCCTCGGTGTCAACGGCCAATCAGATATGCATACTCCATTGTATTCTGCGGCACGACTCAATGCCAGGAGCAAAAGGAAAAATACCTGGAAAGGAACGATAGAAAAAGGGGGCAAAAAGGTAAAGAGGAATTCATAAAGAGGTAAAACATTTGATAGCTTCCTATTTTTGAATCTCATAAACTGCCAATGACCGTCATATTCCATCCAACCTTCTTGTTTTTTCCTCTTTAATCTTTACTTTTCAGAACAAGGAATAATAGAAGAAACTAACAAGAATTCCAGAAAATATCAGTAACCTATGAAACTTTTTTAGGTATAAAAAATTTGAGAAATCTTTCTGAAAAACCATGTTTTATCCCTCCTGACAAACAACTAACATATGAACACCATAAGTTTTCCCTAAATGTCAAAAAAATTCTATATTTTCTTACACAGAGGATTCAACGCAAACTGCTAACAATTGAATAATCAGTTAGGCAGGAAAACAAAGTAAAATCACGAACTAATATCACAAAATAAGAATGTGGTATTCCAAAAATGGTAACTAGATACTATCACAATCAAAAGATCCAGAAAAGAAAACACAAATAAATCCCAAGAATCCACATTCATGAATAAACGAAGGAAAATCTACTTGCACCCTACAAAAATTATACCTTTCACTGTCAAGGCAGAGACTTTTATTTACAGGACTCACACAATTAAACCTAGTATCCAACAATAAGTTGAATCGTACAGATGATGGAGAGAAGTAAACTAGCACTCAAATTCAAAATAGTGCAGATCAAATCAAAATTTAAATTACTATGAATCCACACTTTTAAACCATAATTAAGCTCAATCCGACAAGTTTTAACGGAAAATATTTATTTTTCTGTAAGAACAAGAGAACCCACAAAGGAAAAATGCTCATAAACAAAGCTGATCCAAGAAAAACAACAATAATTTAGGGAAAAAAATATTAATTAAGTGAAATAATTAACGTACTTACTAGCCCTTTCATGTTTTTATCTTCTTCAAACTTGCACTGACCTCCTCTCGACAGAACTACTTCTTCTAAACTGGAAGAAGAAATAGGAAAGAAGAGAAGAAAAGGGTGTGATTGAATGAAGATGAGTTGCAATCAAGGAGAAAAAATAAAATAAAATTATGTATTACAATTACAAAATTAAAAATAAAATCGTAAGCTAAAGGGACAGCACAGAATAAGAAAAGGACAGTCTTCATCTACACAAACTAATTAAATTTTCTCACTAATTAAATTTAATTCCATAATTATTGCCCCTTAATCACTCCCGTAATTTTCCACTTATTTCCATCCAACGGGTATTTGCCGACACTAAAATCCTTGTAGCAACGGCAAAATCTGTCTTTTTCCTTTTCCTTGTAAGAGAGAGAAAGAAGCGGTGAAGCAGTAATATTGTAATAAAATAAGCATAATTAGAGAAAATTAATTACAAAATAAAGAGTGAAATTAACAAAGCGACAAATGGAAATTGGGACAAATGTTTATGCATGGGAAGAGTGGCATGTGCTTTGTGGAATGAGTGGGTCCCACAGTCCAATAATGAAATGCTAGGCTGGCATCACTGAATTTGCCAGATCAGAACCTCATTGTCTGTCTTTTTGTGGCCATTGTTCTCTCTTGTGTTTCTTTCTCCAGGGTATTTTAATTATTCTTATGACTGGAATTACAAACAAGAAAAGCAAACGCATATCATCATTCTCCTTAAAAGTTTTCATTTAATTATTGCATTAACATACTTGTGAGCCCGTGATGTTGGGTAATGGTGGTATGTTGTGTTCCTAAGGTAGATTAATTATGTCTAGCCATTAACAACATGTCGTTAGAAAATTATCTGATCGCATGTATCAAATATTCATCGAACTTAGATATTCATTCAAGTAAATATTAGGTGAAGGAGACGTTACAAGACATGCAAGTAACATTTACTAATAAATTTGCTAAACGACCACATTAATCACTTTAAGACAATCAAGGTAGAATCTTTGTGATAAAAGGAAATTGTATCACTAGGGTATGGGTGGGATTTAGAGCCATCCAGGCATTACAAGTACATCTCAAGATGAGTTATTTGAAGAAAGATGCATAGACACCAATCGTGGCACTGCACTTTTCTAAATCGCGTGAGAGAGCTTTTGAATTTCAAGTGAGCAATGATTGAAGATCTCGTATTACAGCTATCATAATGCTCGTGATATGTGTTGTACCTTCCACAATGACACTACGCGTGCTTATATGGTTGGAAGTGCAACGTGATTTGTGAATTACAGATTCATTAAACAACCACTTAGCCACCTCTGAATTATTAAGGAAGAATCACCTGTATAATAAATATTCTTTTGTATAGAAGGAAATTATATCCCTATCCATTGGACAAGCCATTGAGGAGCGGCAAGCACCTACAAAATATAAAGATAAGTTATTTGAAGAGCATTGCTCAATTCAAAAACTTCTTAAAGAATGGTGTACATGACACTGCACATTTTAAAATATTGTCATTTATAAGGAACATCACAATCATGTTCAAATGTGCTGTGTAATTGCCATGTCAAACATCAAAATTGTAAGTACTAGCACGAATATTTACACAATATTGTAGTAGATACTCATCTACTCATATTGCATGATATGTAGACATGATTAAATAGTACTACGTGTTACGATTTGTCTTGACTAAGGATGTTAAGTGAGACGAGCCAACGTGGCATCGGCTCCTGAGCCGAAGCCGACCTCGTAACTATGAGAAACTATGTAATTTATAGTTTTAAAAAAATTTGGCAAGCTACGAGCGGTTCACAAGCACCCGCCAAACCACACTTCATGAAATAAGTAAGCCCACGTGGTGAATCAAGCCAAGCTTCACTCGACCCATTTAACATCTCGATTCCTAACTAACTTGTATGCTTGTACGTTACATATAAAATCATTAATCAAGGTTAGCTGTAGCAAACCTCAACAAATTGGTTCTTGACTCTAAAGGCTCTGCTTAGCTGTATCTCGCCCCCACTTTATGGAAAGATATAATCTAAGGGGTATAGACGTATAGTCCTACCCACCACATGATTTGATCTTTTCTAACAAAAATCCACAAATTCGCTTGATGAATAAATTAATCAAACTATATATAATCCATGTGAAAATTTAGTGGACAAATTAGATAGAATTTGGCATTACAAATTGTATTTTTATTTTTTAATCATATTCGGTTATTTTTATTTTTATCAAATATTTTTAACGTAAATAATTTTGATTCTCATATCAAATTATCTGAATTAATACAACAACGACGACAGAATAAATTAATCTCGTATGGAATTATAAATAAAAGTTCTTCCAATATTCTTATAATTTTGTACAGTGAGAGTTTAAAAGAAAAAAGGGAAAAAAAAAAAGAAGAAATAATAGTGATTTAATCATTTCAGTTCTTTTCTCATTCTTCTTGGGACCAATAGTAGGGATGTACGTCTTTTCTAAGGAAAAAAAAATGATTTGGCCTTGGCTTCTTTCTTTATGCGCATGTGTACTTGTTATTGAAAAATTACAAGGCACTCACATCAACTTCATGCTCAAGATTTGTTATTGGGATTTTGTAGGTTCAATTCAACTTGACCAGGCCTACGTTTGAAAATGATTTGTTTTCAGGCTGACATATAAATTGGGCCGCGTTCAAACCATATGGGAAAGGGGCCTGGCCCAAATTATTATACTGGCCCAGTTGAGACCATTAATATATCCTAGCCCTTGTATTACTCTGCTTGACGTGATGTTGGTAAGTAAATTAGACGATGGAAGTATTAAAGAATTGTATTTGTAAAATTCAATCTTACTTGGTCAAAAGAATACCAATTTCCAACAGCAAAATTTGTAGATGATATTAGTAACTGTTGACACTGACCTCCGAGGTCATTAAGGTCGGATTAATCACCGTCATTGGAGGAACATATGTTGAATTTGGTGACGCGCTCGGATGTAGGTACCTTCTAGGAGAAGCTTGTGTAGTCTTTCTAGGCAAGGTAGAATATAATGATTGAAGTTCTCTGACGGGATATATGGGTTACCAATCACAAGGATATACTTGGAAAGGTCTGACATCAACGTCCACATGATCCTCCAATCAAAACGTTAACACCCTCCATTAAGTAATGCATTAATTGTTGGGGGCCACTTTCAATTAATGCTCTGGAGAAGTCTGACAGAATTCAGCTCGGCAACTAATCTAACCGCACCAACCACTGTATTTCCTCAACTCGAAATTCAAATGACAAGACAGGAAGTGCAGCATGCATGCACGTTTTCTCTATAAATAGGGATCCCAAGCCCTAAAAGACAGTGGAAGAAAAAAAGAAGAAGAAGAAAACAGGAATACAAGCATACACAAACTCTTAGCATATCTAAATACACTGAAAAAGGGGCTGTAGCGAAACCTTCGATCCTTAAATGATGGCCATGAAGGAAGCCATCAAAAAACTGACAAATGTCATCAGTCGACTAGAGCAAAGGTAAGCTCAAAATCCACCACCGGACACAAAGGTGGAACCCCCTCAACGAGAAAGATCTAGGCGACCTCCCACCAAAAGAACCCTCCATTTCTCAAGTAGAGAACCTTCCAAAAACCAAACTGAGGAGGTCAGAAGTTCCCCTGCCACGACACAACCAACTGCCAGAAGAACAAACAATGTATTCAACAGGTTGGGTTCCCAATACTCCTTGACGCCCCCACGTAAAGATGACGGGCCACGCAGCAACTTCCCTAAAGAACGAGCTGAACCTGAGATCAGTGCTCTCAGGAAGCGCATAGCAAACTTGGAAGCCAAAAACAAAGAAGGAGCTCGGAGGTAGTCCAGGATGACCTCAGGTCGATGCCCGAGAAGACCGTTAATGTTTGGCCTCCGCAGGTTAGGCCATTTGTCTTATAACCTTGAAGATGAAGCGAATATAGGAATTGCCAATGGAATGGGCTGAGGTGAATTAGGAGGAGCTATTGGAGTAGGAGTTGCCAACAATTCATCAGGACGGTGACGCTTCAGTAATGGTTGCTCATCCTCGACCTCGGCCTCCTTTGGAGTCGCTGCAGACACTTCTTTCTCTTTCCCTTTAGCAGCTTCAGCCACCTTTGCAGCTCTAAAATTCAACCTGTCTGGAGTTTGACCTGAGGGGAAAGCATGTGAAACGTCAACCTCAAACTCTAAGTAAAAAACGAATATCAAAATTGAGGTCACTTACGGGAACTTGTGGGAGTAGAAATAGCAGGTCGGTTTGATGATGAGGTCGGAAGCACTGCACGAAGCAAACCGACCTGAAACAAGTTCATATCAGAAATCACGAACTTACAGGACCTTTGCCTGTTTAGGAGAGCTCGGATGGAATCTGCCTGTCTTTAGAGGACTGAGCTCAAGTGGCAAGGTCGGTAAACTGCGCAAAAAAGATCGGAAGTTAGAAAAAGTTGTCTAAAAATAAAAATCAAATTGGAAAGCAAAACATGTACATCTTACAGAGAGAATAATAAAGAGTAGAAATTACATCCTCTCTATCCACCTCAGATGGATGAAACTGCCAATCCCCCGGACAAAGAAAAACTCCTCTTTCCATCCCTTAATTGATGAAGGACTATCTAAAACTAATGGACCCCTGTTCTGGGCCTTACACTAGTGTACCACCACCCGGTGTTTTTCCCGTCCTCCTTAAAGGTAAAAAGAGAGTTAAACTGAGACACGATGAGTTCGGGATGGCCTAGTTGACTCCATAAAAGTAAGGTTATAATAAGAGTTCACCAACCATTAGGGCACAGCTGAGTAGGGGCTATTCCCCCGGAAGAAAAGAATTGCCTGATGATTCTAGGGAAGGGTAACCTCAGCCCAGCATGGAGAATTGCTGTGTTGAGTACCACACACCCCAGGGGAGGATTGCTAGCTCGGTCAGAAGGGGATGGTATCGCTAACTCTACAGAACTAGGAATACCATAATTGGCCCTAATGCCAGCTAAAACACCCCCGTTACCACCGACCTAAAAGAATCAACCCCCCACTCACTACCACTACTTTCACCCTCTACCCGTGACCTTTCCTCCCTTGTTTTTTTTCCTGTGATCCATGCTCCTAGGGGAATTGGATAGCGATGGGAAGAAAGAAGAAATTAGGACAAGAGTTAATACTTTCTGACAGTCTGAGCTGGAGGTGGAGGTATTGACGAGGGAAGAGGAATGATTTTCTTGATTATTACCTCAGGATCGTACTTGGGATTCATCCGAACTCATATTAAAAAATCTAGAAAAAATGTATATAAACGTAGAAATAATAAGGTATTCTCAGAAAAATAAATACCTGAACAAAGGCTTACCTCATTCAGAAAAAGAGGACGAGAAGAATATTTTCTAGAGAGAAATTACAAGTTCAAAAAGATGCAAAAAGTTGGATAAATGAAAGAAGAGATAGCTATTTAAAAGGGGGCAGAATGCCAAAGATCCCAATCCGTCCGTTCATATAAAGAAATAAATGAATAGACGGTTAAAATTAAAAGCTTCCAAGAAAAGGAATCCAGCCACCCCACAGCTGGCGTACAAGTTACTCTGTGACATGTGTCCTTTGTATTAATTGACGTAAATCATTACACAAATTGGAAGTTGTGTCAATCAGTCAATCAAATCTTGAAAGGTCAGTCCCTCATTTAGGTCGGCACTGACCTGGGGGTAACTATTGACACCAACCTCTGAGGTCATTAAGGTCGGATTAATCTCCGTCATTGGAGGAGCATATGTTGAGTTCGGTGATGCAAGGTCGGCTCGGATGTAGGTACCTTCTGGGAGAAGCTTGTGTAGTCTTTCAATGCAAGGAAGAATATAATGATTGAAAATCTCTGACAAGATATATGGATTACCAATCACAAGGATACACTTGGAAAGGTCTGACATCAGCGTCCACGTGATCCTCTAATCAGAAACGTTAACACCATCCATTAAGTGATGCATTAATTGCTGGGGCCACTTTCAATTAATGCTCTGAAGAAGTCTGACAAAATTCAGCTCGGTAACCAATCTAACCGCACCAACCACTATTTTTCCTCAGCTTGGAATTCCAATGACAAGACAGAAGATGCAGCATGCATGCACGTTTTCTCTATAAATAGGGATCCCAAGCCCTAAAAGAAAGGGGAGAAAAAAAAAGAGCAATACAAGCATGCACAAACTCTTAGCATATGTGGATACTTCAAAATTCAAATATCTCCTACTATTACTAGAAAATGAAAGAAATTGAATCATATTCTTGTATTCTTGTAAACTCTTGATCATTTCAATAAGAAATAGACGTTTCTTTCATTAAGTTGGCTTGAATATTGTCCATCCAATTTTCAACGTCAACAGTAACCATGAAATAAAACATAGTACAATCGATATAGTAAATTAATTTCAATACTCCTCTCATTTAGCTAAACATTAAGATAAAACACTTCTATCAAAAGATATAAACCAAATGCGGACAGATCACTATAAAATAAAAGAGGCAAAACATTGGCAGGCCACGTGTCACGATTTTCTATTGTCGTCAAAATTCAATTTATTTTTTCGCCGTTTCCCCCACGCTTTGCTTTCTCCATTTCCCCTACAAATCTGACACGCCACTCCGTCTTTGCTCTTTCTCCATTTTTCCACTCAACCAATCATACCTCTTTACTCCTCCATTCCCCTTAAGATTTCTTATTTCTTCTTCTTCTACTACTTCTTTTTCCTTCCTGCATTCTTCTCTCTGCTCTAATTTTGTCAAGAAATTTCCGTTTGACCATCTCAAGACCTTTTATTTGCAGGGTTCAAAGTTCTCATTGTGTGATATATGAGATTGAGAAAGAAATTGCTCAAAATAATGATTGAAATAAGATATTTTTGTAC